CAGTTTTTGACAAAGAAGCAGCACCCTTAGCTACAGCACTCCTCATCACCAGGGCCCTGTTTACTGTGGCTAAGGATTTAAGATCGCTTGCGTAACTGCTAATGTAATTGTGTAATTTTTTTTTTAAAAAAAAAAAAAAAAGGAAAAAAAGCTTTGATTTGGCACTTCAACAAAATTTTGCAACAAATGTGAGATATAATCTGGATAGCCACTGTATATTTGATGTGAAGTATTTAGATATCTCTTTGAAACACTTTTAAGTTTCTTTGATAGCAATGACTTTTGTAAGGATTGGTATTCTCTATCATTCCTTATGACTTGCACATTGTCTGTCACTAATACTTGACCTTGCTGTATTATCACCTAAATAACTGATGCCGGTACTGATGGAAATCTCTAATGGATAATCATAACACTTTTGGTCACATGTCCTTTTGTCTTTCCTGCAGCCTTGAAGGTTTTAAGAAATCTCAAATGCCCGCTGCTGCTGCCCTTTTAATTGCTATCTTTTGAAAAGCACCAGTATGTGTTTGAATCGATTTTCCCCTTTTAAGGGAAATGACAGCCAGCAGTTACAGTTCTAATGGTATAAGCAAGACAAATAAAACATGTTTATAAAAATTGTATCCTGGAACACTGGTTTTCAACGACTGAAACAAATTTAATGTAATGGGGTGACATTTCATAAGGTTGGTTTTTGTTTTGTTGGTTTTTCTTCCCCCTGATAGATTCTCTTTTTCCTGAATAGATGTAAACTCTCCTCCTGTTTTTTTCTGATTTTATTCTAATAGCTGTGACTTCTTCTGGGAAACTTTCTTTTTATGGACTTTACTTTTCATCAAGGCAGCAATGTATAAAAGAAATGGCATAAGACTAGGAGCTGGAAAATACCAAGTCTTATTCAAGTTTTACTGCATACTTGTGGTATAATCTTTGGAAAATCACTTGTGCCTACCTTTTGCGCACATGCACTCTCTCTGCAGTGGGGAGAATATATTGATAGCTGCCTCCATAGAGGTGTTGGTAGACCTGTTGCATTCTATAGCACCTGCAAGAAGAAAAGTGCTATATATGTTAAGTATTGCTCATCAAATAATTCCTACCTGTGGAAAGGTGAAATTAAGGAACAGCTTCATGTTGTTTAACTGTTATATACCAAACTGAAGGTTGTTTTCATTCAGAGGGTCGTTTCTACTTTGTATCAGCACTGAACTTTCAGAACTTGTAGTCAGGTATTTTGACTCCATACAAATAGGTGGTGATATCACTTTTCCATGTTCTGTGAGAAGAGCACAAATGAGAAATGTTTTTACTGAGAGAAGTGATCTTGTGAAGAAGATACTAGACACCAGACATCTTGAAATGATGCTGAAGGCTAGAAGCAGCAGTTTTTGTCAAGGCCTAGAAACATTCCGTACCAGTATAACAATATAAACTGCAGTCTGGTGAGAAGTTGCTGTTCTATGTCTTTTTTTTAGGAAGCTATTACCAAGATAATAGTCCCAACTGTTTTTTTAACTGGAAAAAATAAAAAGGCAAACCTTTTAATGTTGAACTGATGTAGAAAAGCAGTGAATTTTTTTTTTTAGTTTATTTTTGTGTGCATCAGCTTACTTTTTAAATGGTTGGTAGAACACAAACTATTCAGCTTTTTCCACTGCACACCAGATGCTTCTTTAATAGCTAATTGTAGTTTGACAGTAAACTTGCAGCATACTAAATTACAGACCACTGAATGGATCAGAACATTCCACTTAAGGTTTTGGGGTCAAATTTTTTTTTTTAAACTTAAATTTATTAATAAAACATTGAGTAGTTGAGAGGCCTCTTAAATGAGATACAACTTTGTAAGCCTTTTCATGTATGAAAATGGTCTTTAGAGTAGTGCTCTGCTGTATGCTGATAGAGGCAGATGTGTTATAATAATAACCATAAAACAAGTACTTAAGATGTGTTTAATTTGGGAATTTGCACTGACTCCTTTAATTTCAATTCGTGCGTCTAATAAACAGTATACTGAAAAATTGGCTTGAGTCACAGTATGGCACATAGATCCGCTAACTGATTTTCTGGCCTGTTCAGGGGAGCTTCTAAATATCTTCACTCCGTAACTTAGCTCCGAATCTGAGTTACATCCAGATGACAAGCACTCCTAGATACATTTCTTTTGAAAAAGGTCATCTTTTGAATAAAGACCGTTATAAGAAGTGATCATATTGAGGCCAAACGGTGGCAGTTCTGGGCTGGTTCTGTTGCGGAGCCCCTCCTGGAAGCCAGGGAGTGAGCTGTGTTTATTCTAGTTAGATGCTGCAGTAGGATATTTCAGGCCTGATGCCCGTGGCTGGAAAGCATGAGCGAGCGTAACAAAAGTGCTACTTCTGAGCCTGTATGTAGACACATCAGTTGCACTCTTTGGTGGTTTTACTTCATTCTTTTGTGAATCGGTCTTCTGGGAGCGTAACAGACTAGTTATGACTGCCTTGCATATACAGCTACTATGAGGAGATACTGATTTTTATTGGCAGGGGCTTCATTATCTAATACTGCTGGGCTGTGATAACATACAGTGGAATGTGTTTGAGAACAAACTTCTAGCTTCAGTGCCGGTCTTCCTCTTGGCTGCAATACAAGGATTCTTGAGTAAATAATTTATGTCACTCGAGTTTACAGATGTTTCTGCCTAATGTTACTGTGTCTGGGAAACTTGGATCGTTCCTAGAAGTCCTACAACTTAAAATATTTTATCTTGGAAATCAAGAGCTATTGTCTCATTCCTAAGGTCAGTTTTGTCCTACATTTTACTTCTCTGTTTTTCCTGTATATGGGCTGTCTTTTTAAGAACAGTTCACTAATATGGCTTTTGGGTTTGCTGTGGAGGGAGTTCTAGACTTCGCATAACCCTTGTTTTATTTCCAAGATGCTGTCTTTTTTGTATAGAAATCTCTAAAAGCATAACATCATCCAGAGTAACTGGAAGAGCAAGGTTGACTTCTTGTTAATAGCCAGTTAATGTATTTTGCTGTGGCTTTTTAACTCTCAGAGAACTTGGTGACCTTAAAAATGTGTCTTCTCAAAATATCTTGCTGCCCTTATTTATTAGACAGGCCGATTCTTTGATTGGGTTAGAGGCTACATTCGTATGTGTCTTTGGAGAATGGATCAAGCTTCCTTCTTTTCTCTCAAATGACTTTTGAGAGAAAAGTTATTAAAAGGGCTTTAACTCTAGACAAATACTGAAAAGATGATAAATGATACTGAAAAAGTGGATAAACTTCATATGATTAAAAGCAAATAGGGCAAAACCTTTATAGTCCAGCAGAACAAGGTACAAAACCAATTGGTCAGACAAATAGTGATCTCCCTATTCTTTTTTTTTTTTTTTTTTAAGTTCTGGCATTGCCTAAGCTGAGTAGTTGACTTTTCTTACCTCTTCTTTGCAAGAACCATTCATTATAAATGTACATCTGAGATACAAGTGTTTGGGCTCAGTGGAGGAAAATTGTGCTGTATTCTTCAATTTTCTCCCATCCCAAGTTTCCTGTGGATATAAAGGGACATGAGAACACTGCTCGTTAACCAGCCCCATTAATGCGGCTGCTAGTCACATCTGGAAAAAAAAAAAGTCATCCCTGTTGCTCATGCGAAACTGTTCTTGAATAAAGTGTATGCAAAGTATTGCAACAGGTAGTTGAAGGTACGAATTTATAGCTGGAGTTGAGGTTTGCAACTATATGAAGTAGACTGTATGTTTTAGTCTTTGCAGTCTCTGCACTCATTTTTACAGTATTCCAGCTGAATATGGATGGGACTAGAAAGGTTTTTAATCGCTTGAGCTGGCAGCAACAAAGTTCTACAGATGGGGTGGGTAGGTGTTCTTCACCAGTGATTCATCTAAAAATCAGTGCCTCTTGTGAAGAGCAAGCAGGAAACGGTCCTGAACAATAAAAATTCCTTTTTGAACTTAGAAGGATGGTTTCCTTATTTGAATCTGTGCTTAAGTACAGTTATTATTGCTGGGAACTTCACTGGAAACTCAAACATTGCAAAATTGTGTAGTTTCCTTCTAATTCTGGTTTTCTCTAAATGACAAAAATTATTAAAATGCCTTTGACTGTTCCATCACAACATCAGCATCTGCGCGTTTGATTGGTCTCGTGAATCTTGGCTGTTTTATATTCAGTGACAGAACTTAACACAGAAGGAGCTTTGACATGAACTTTGGGAAAATTCCCTTATGTAACACCAGATTAGCATACCTGATAGTCATGAAGAAGGCGGATCGCTTAAAGGATAATGTGTTTCTATGTGGCCAATTTGTTTTTCCGGAGGGAAGGAGAGGGGGAACATCCTTGACTTCCCGGTTTGCAACTACTGCTTGCTTTTACATGCAGATGTTTTTCATCCCAGTCAGCACGTTTTCTGAGAGCAAAGGTTCCATGCTTTTGAGAACCACTGCACCTTGGCTGTTCAGGATTTAAGGTTGCATTTAAATTGTCTTAACGTCGAAGGGAAAGAAAACATCTATGCTGTAGTAGACTGTTGAAGAGATTTAATGTCCCTTCCTCTGTGTGAAAGCAAGCTCCTGACTCATACACTTCTGTGAAAACTGAAAAGCAGCATCTTGCATTTTTGTCTATTCCTACAAGGTGTCAGACACTGGGCGTTGTTGAATTGTGGTGTGGTATGGCAGAGTGTCTGATGAGAAACTAATTTTCTAAGCTGTTCGTCTAAGGAAGAGGTGCTATTCTATTAGCTGCTTGCTTAGGGTTTTTGATTATAACGCAATTAAAATTATTTGTGGCTCTCTAGATCTAGCCTTTACGGAGGGAAGGAAATCTCTTTTCTAAAATCCACATCCTAAAGCCAGTTTGAGCAGTGCTTAAGAGAACTGTGTTAGGAAAACTTCAGCCTAACTTGACATTTTGTTCTGAATT